TTTTATTTCCTCAGTCCACCATTAGCTTTCTAATGAACACAAAGTCCATGAACGCTTCACCAGCTTTACCCGGCTTTATGCCTTCACGGGGTAAAGGTCAAGATATCCATGCACACAGAGGGAAACTTGAGAGAAGCCATGCCGGTTTTTTTCCTGTTACTGTCGAAATCGCTGTACACTACTGCCAATACATCCATTTTCAATTTGAGAACTACGTGTCTATATATATTTTCTGACACTATCGATAAAATTGTATCATCGAAAGTGGATGTGGTTCGTACCTGTAATAAATCTTCAGGACAGAAGAGTATCGACTATATCCATAGGAGAGATAGTTTAATGCGTCCTGGAACGAAAGAATTTTAATTTCGCATCTCCTACATATGTAAATAAAAGTTGTTGAATTTTAATAAACAAAATTGAAAATTCAAACAAGTCAATTTACTGATTTTTATCTTATAACATCTTATAAAATCACGAAATTATGTTTCTTTATGCAAATTTTTAGTCTGTTTTTATCAAACATAATTACAGTATAACTCTTTTATTTAAAAATAAGGCGTTCTGTTATTCGCATATTATTCTAAAATAAGAGTTATTAATTATTTTAAATAACAACACTTCCCACACAGCACATGACGTCCAAATAAGGTCCATTTTATGTCGATACGTCCATGGACATGTTACAAACGCTATACGGACATCATTTTAGGGATATCCATAGAATGTTAGAATATTAAAAGGAAAATTATTGGACGTCTAAATATATCCGTCTTACATCCGACTTCAATAGATAAATTATAGATGTCCATTGCATGTCTTGTTTGGAACGTCCGACGGACATCTATCTTAGAATATTTAATGGATCCAAATTACATCCGTTTTACGTTAATACATTTGTCCTCTAACATATGTATTATATATTATATTGACACACATTTGATCAAACGTTTTACTAAAGGGTGTTCCAAAATTAACGCAAGATTTGAATTTGCCGCCATTTGTGCAGTAAAGTGTTGGCAACCCAAAAAAAACACAATTTAACAGCTGACAGTTTAGGGTTAGTGAAAATGAGTTCGTTGAATCATCAACAAATGGATGCTGATTTTTCGAGCAAAATCATCCTAAGCGATGAAGCACATTTTCACCTTGATGGCTTTGTTAATCGCCAAAATTGCCCCCTAGATCATGTGATTTAACACCATTAGATTTCTTTTTATGGGGTTATTTGAAATCACAGGTCTATGTCAACAAGCCCACAACCACCCGTGCATTAAAGGAGATTTAACGCTGCATCAACGAAATTCAGCCACATTTATGCAAAATGGTCATGGAAAATTTCGACAAACGAGTGCGTATGTGCATGCAAAGCCGTGGAGCCATTTGCCCGATGTGTTATTCCACAAATAACCCTATCCTATGTACTTTATGATTCAATAAAAAAATAACAATCAAAAGACTAAAAACTGTGTTTTCTATTTAATTCAAATCTTGCGTTAATTTTGGGACACCCTTTATATAAATCTATTTTTTTTAATGCTTACGCGTGCGAAGATCAGCGCCGCTATTCTATTTTTGTTTAATTACTCGGCGAGTACGTTTAAATATATTAATTATATATTATAAATAATTTAATAAATATTATTACCTCGGGACATTTGGAAAAGTGAGGATAAGGTAAAAAATATTGTAATTCGAAACTTTTAACAAAGTTATCTTATAGACCTCGACGAGTCAAACACAAAAAACAGTATACACTTTTGTTCTAGAATGAACAGATTAGGAAATAGAGGGCTCTAAAGTGCAAAAAAAATGTGTGAATTTAAAAAGTTTTATACTTTTCTCGTAATCTAGGGTCCAAAAAAAAAACAAAAAAGAGAAATTCTTGTCGTACTTGTCACCGTTGGCATGTGGACTTTTTTTAATCTTTTTTTTTAGAAAGTTTGACGAAATTCCAAATTGAGTTTAAAGGCCACACGGGTTGGGTCGAGTTAGATCAGGCTAGGTCGGGTTAGGTCGGGTTAGGTTACTGTTTTTTCCCGTTTTCTGAAATTTTTTTTTTTTTTGCAAATTATGTCCGGCAAATTCATGTTTCGAACTTTGGTGGTGGTCCCGACTCGATACCTAACAGCCATCTTGTAGTTACAAATTTCTTTTTGAAACTTCAATCGGCTGTAGCTCAGAGGGGGTAAGTCGGAGGGTGGTGGGATCAATGCAAAAGTTGTTCAACTCGACGAGCTGCGTTCATCCCCCATCCCCCCTTTGCCACCGCCCTGCCATTTTGGTTGTACTCTTTTGAAAGTAAAGTTTTCGAACATGGCGGCATCGATCTGGCAAATTTCCATCTCGAATTTTAGTGTATTTCCCGCCGCGCTACCTAACCTCAAAAGTGTTTTTTTCGCGTTTATTACGGCCGAGAATGGTCGAGTGGGGGGGGGGGAGAGGGTCAAAGGGAAAGCCGTTTCTCTCGAGGAGCCTCGTCAATCCCCGTTGGGTCCATGCCGATATCTTTTTTTTTTTTCTTTTTTAAGTCCAATGGTTCAACATATTCGAAAAAGCAGTCGAAAAATCAAACGATCGAAGATCAATAACGTTAATTTGTAATTGATATTCAGAGAGTTACATCACCCCTGGATCCTCTTGTCATGCGTCTAACCAGAGAGTAACTAGATAGCGTGCGACTGGACAGAGAGCGCCCAAGTGACATTTCCTACCAAGTGCTCGAGAGTAAAAGTGACAATTTTACAACCGAGCCAAGTATATGTAAGATGTGTCGAATATGAATTTCAGACTTTGTACGTTTGAAATAAGCTCGCGCGATACGGAAAACTTCAAAGAACAATACAATGCTTGTAAAATCGAGCTACTACACTTTATTTATCAAGAAACTTCCCCAGAGGGACAATTCCCCTCTCGGGTAATACAAAAAAAAAAAAGTAATCAGCTAGGCCAAACGCCAAACTAAAATATATTATTGCGGGGGACAAAGGCCACCAACCGCGCGGGCGATACAACTACAGGCTGGGGGGAAAGCCCCCCAGCCAGAGCATTACCACACATAATGATACCACCCCGGTTTGCAGGCCGGGGAGGTATACTATCACAGTTATACGACGGCTCCTCCGGGGTATCACAGATAAATTGTTAAGGTACAGGTATAAAAGGCCCGGAGGAGCACGCGCGGAGAAAATGCACCCGCCTAGGCAAAGCCGGAACCATTTGGTCAGGGAGTGGCTCGCGAACATGTATCGGCAAATTCAAATTAGGATTACAACTATTACCTTTAATCCAAGACGAGAATCAGTTCGAAGGCTAAGCGGAAACTTACGAAGCCTCTTCTCAATAGTAATTGAAGCTAAGGTAATTTATTCAATGTTGACTCAATGTTAACGAAATAGTACTGAAACATGAAAGTCAACGTAACGTTAGGCCGGTTGA